CTTGGTTTACATAATTGGTCCTACTGAAGCACTTTGCGCAGCCTGTGTCCGTCTTTGAACCCCCTCGATCGTAACACGTGGTTGATCCAATGGCTGATCTGATCTCACCCTGAACTTTGGATTGCCTAGTGATGTTAGTGTTGACATTGGGAGAGCGCGCGTGTCAGCACGCGGGCATTGACATCGAACAGAAGCAAATCCTGGGGCCTCTTCAGGAAGTCCCGATTGATTAGTCGGTTGTTGTCATTAGCACAATTGAAGCCCATGCTGCACAACTCGAGGAATGATGCTTGCTGCCGGAGATTGCCTCACAGCTGGTGAGGAGGTTGCCATGACAACTGAATGGCAATGATGCCAGAATCTGTCCTGACCTTGACCTTGTATTGCGTAAACTGCCCTTGCTGTCCTAGTAACGTAGTACATGTGTACGAGATGCATAAATTTCATCCAGGGAAGAGTAAATTGACAAGGTCCAGAATTCCTGCACTGAAAAAAATCATTTTTCAATTTGGTTATTTGTAAAGAATTGCTTGTATTAGTGATACTTAACAAAAACTCACAAGCAACATCAAGAAATTGCCTTTAAGAAAATTAAGTTCTGCCCAATTAAAACTTGGTCGCATAGAAGTCCCCCATGCAACACTCATGTAACATGTATTCAAATGTAGCAATCAACCAGAATCTGCTACAAATCAAATGGTTTTAAGTCATTGTTTCACAGCTTTTTCACTCTGAAGTCCGTGTGCCAAGATCACTCAACTTCAGGTGTGGTTTGCCTATTCATCACGCCTTGATTTCTGGCCAAGTGTGTGCTTTGAAATGTTAGTGTAAACTTTGCTGGACACAGTCTGTGCTGGGCTTTCAGGGCTTTCAGCAGAGGACTCGGCATGACACGGCCAATTGATACCTAAGGTAAACAGACCAACGCAGTGGTTGCAATATTGCCAGCTGAGTATCTTAGTGAGTGGTAACTTAGGGAGAAGGCAGATATCATTTGACTTCCTTTGAAAAGACTCCAGATGAGTCTAGATGTCTGCATGTAAAGATTGGCCAAAAGACTTGACACTGGAGAGCTCTCCATGGGGAGTATTATACTGACATGTAATCCAAGCTGTAAATGATATGGCAGCTCTTTAGGAGTGGTTTGTTGACACCATGGTCAACAAAGGTATTCATGTACTTTACAAAATCGGTGCACACTATGACTTCCTTATTTGATCGTCAGATCATGAGGGCACTTTCGGGCCATATTCGATTGTCTATGTTCATTTTCCAAGTGTTATCAATCATTGAGGGGGTAATCATACATGTTGTTGTTCTCAATGAGAGATCATGATATGCTCGAAACTCTGGTACTTTGAAGAAAAACTGACTGCAGTAATAAGGATAAATTTGTGGACAGCATGTCTTTGAATGTAAAACATTTGGAGTGTCCCATGAGAAGAAATTTGGAATAAGTAGACAGCTGTAAGCAGCTTCATGGAAGTTGCCAGCATCTGACTAACATAAAGTACCATGTGTTATTAGCATATATGTTGACAACCTTCATATGAAGAAGCAGAACATCAGTCATGCTGCCTCAAAGTTGTTTCTTGAAAAGTTGGTGCTCCTCTTGGACATCATTGATGCATTGGATGTTGTATAGATCTGCAGAGATTGCGTGCAGATACTGTCAGTTATTAATGGCTTTGGTGTGTTACTTGATGACAACATAATTACATGTAGTTGGTTACAAACAGAAATAACATGTGCGTTTGTAGAAGCCACCGGGTACCGGCTGTGTCTCAGCCATTTCCCATAGACTTGTGTATTGTGGCTGGCCTCAGCCAAGTAGTTTGGATGCAGCCCTAGCTGCCATTAGGAGGCTAAAGAGAACCTCCCACTCTCCGTGCACAAAGCCATTCGACTCATCTTCATGGCATCTACACCTAGATAGCAGAAATTTCTCTTTCCCAATAAAAAGAAAGAAAGAAAGAAACGGGTTAACACGATAACTCCCCTCAATTGTTTTACCACGTGTAACAAGGAGTCCGTTGATTGAATGGGTTGCGTGTTGCTGAATGACATACTGGCTGGGAATGTTGAGGTTTGTCAGTGATTTTCTTATTCCCTTGTCACTTCTCGTTAGTGGGAAATGCAAACCCCAAATGCCATAAAGCAGACATCAGGTGCGCAGTGGTCTAGCAAAGATCATTTTCACTCAGTTGGATCGCTGTTCCGTGACACATGGACCAGGCAGGGTTTTACATCCTGTAGCCGGGGAGACTGTGGGGGTTGGACTGCACTCGCTCAGCAGGCATGAAACTTTTCCTCGGATCAGTTGAATCCCTTCTTTGTCACCGCCCACATGCAAATGAAAAACACCACACAAACTCTAGTGCGAACTTTGCGTCCTCATTTTTTTGGTGGCCTCACGAGGGCATATCTGGTTCATTTCCCTGAATGTCACTTCAGTGAAATTGTGAGATTTTTACTATGTCATGCCCTTCGTACAATTGCAGCTCTTCAGAGAGGATTTCAGGGTCATAAACATTAACAGAAAATGTGCTTAGTACACATGTATGCCTTAAGTTCTGATGTGTGGAGTCTCATTGTTTGCAACTTGGAAAATTCTCTCTGAGCAATATGCTTCAAAGATCAAAAGCACATACATGTATGTATTGGGTATGGCACGATGGAAACTCACACAAATACAGTGTAACAAGTGACAGTTAACCATAGAGGCTTTGCATGGAAGACATCTTGCAGGGCAGTTCTTTTGTTTCACTTGGAGACCTCTTTTGTGCATACCCTGTGAAACAAAAGCTATGGCCTTCAAGATGGCAGCCATGCAAACCTTCCATACGCCTACATTTCCATTCATGATATTGGAGTTTTCCAGAGAACTTTATCTCAACCTTGTATGTAGGATGATGTTAAAGGAGATCAGGCTAAACTTGCAAATGTTACAGATACTATTTGCAGCAACAGTGTTCTTGGAGTTCTAAATTTTAAACCATGGTCACAATTTACCCAGTTAGTCTGGTCACAGTTTACTTGCCTTCACCATTGTGGCAGTGGGATGTTCTTCAAAAAAGTGTCAAAAAAGATCAAGCTCTTGGATTTTGTAGTCGGTCTTTACTGTATGTTACACAGAATACTTGTATTTTGATCAAACTCTGGAAAGCAAAACTTAGACACTGAATCTTGAGCAGTTGGTTATTTAAGTTTAAGTAGGTTGGTTGGTCAGTCAATCTGTCAGTTGGGTTGCTTTGCTGACCAGTTGATGGTCATTCATTCGGGCAGCCAGTTAATTGGCCAGTCAACCAGCTAGTCAGTCAGTTGGTTATTCAGTTGGGCAGCCAACTGGTCAGTCAGCCGGTTGATAAGCCCTCTCCCTACCTCCATTCATTGCAACTCTAAATCTGCGTCTCATTGCTGACCCCCTTGTTGGCCTAGGGTTGATGGAATCTCATTACCTTGGTAATTGGGTTCAGTTATGATTGCCATCGGATACTGAACCAATATCAAACCAACCAGTGCATGCCCTGTTTACATCACGGAGATGGAATTTCAGCATTTTGGGGCCTGGCTATGGTCTACAAATCAGCTGGTATGAACTCCACAAGATGAAATGTGCTGCTCCCCCCCTCATTTGTTTGTTGATCATGTGAGACACGGAACTGAGAAACAAGGATTCGCCAAAGTTTTATGGTTATATAATTCCTTTCATGCAAATCAGTTCAGCCATTTGATCTCCAGCGAGCTGTTCAGTCAGTGCCTCGAGGGGTTTGCACCAAGGGCAGGAAAGCAAGCCATAAAACACAAAACAATTTTCTGGCACTGGTGTACTACTGTAAATTGTGGATTTATTGAGACCTCATAATGGCTTTCTTCACCGTAGGGTCATAAATTGTCACTGCAAGTGAACAATTTGTTGTGAGCACATTTTCCATTCAACTTATTTGGGATCTGAAAAAGTTGTTCTAAAAAAATCTGTTAGCACCTTTGGGAAATAGGTTTGTGCCTTGGCACAAATAAAAAACCCAGATGTGTAACTTTGTAAGTGCCACATTTATAAATGATTGCTGTTGGAGTGCTTCAATTTGCTATTTTGCTCTAATCAGAAGAACTGGCAAGAAATATTCAGTGCAAGGGTGACCTTCAGCATCATAAAATATTAATTTTTGCGAAGGGCAAAAGCACATGGATATCACTTTGTGAAGTGCAAGTGTGCATCTCTGTGCCATGGGTTTGCATCCAGACCCTCCCTAATAATCCTAGAGTTTCCTCTGGAATAACCATTTTAGGATTTCCCTGCAATTTTGGAAACCGAAAATGTCTTCATTTCTTCAACTCCTCTCCCTGTTGCTTTGTGCTTCTGAACTACGTCATCCAGTGTCTTGTGTGTTCTTTACAGGAACTCTTTGTTTTATTTCCAGAAAGAATCAAAAGAATGAAATCAGTTGGCATCTGCATGTAGAAGTAATTGATTGACATGTATTTCACAGCATTGCTCTTGTTCTGCAAGCATTAGACTACTCCTGTTGGCCCTGTCTTTCTTGGTTTGATGGGTGCAGAATTGCACAGCCGAAGTCCTTTTTATGGGCATTCCCATGTTGCCTTTTCCATGTATTGTTCTTGTTTGATGTAGTCTGCTTAAAGTCACTTGTCTTTACCTCATACATGTTACTGTAATAATATTGTGGGTTAAATAAGAAATGAGATAAGGAAGGAATGAAATCCTTTGGCTTCTCCTGAACTCTGTGCTGACATTTTGTTGTAACCGTCTAAAACTAAGTTCTTCTAAATTAGAATTTTTTTAACTTACCGGTATGACTCCCCATAATGTGTATCCGTTGTGGTTGTCAGCGTTGTACATTGATGTCATGATTTTGCTTAACACAGACTATGTGCCATTTGCTTGCTGTGCAGTGTGAGATTTTGGTGAAGTGGTGATGGTGATGGTGGGGATATTGTAGAATGATCTTAAGATTGGGATGTTTTCCTCTTCTTTCCAGAGTGAATGGCATAAATCCAATGCCCAGAAGACAGAATTGTCCGCTCAGCTAGCGGAGGAGTCTGGCAGTCGTCGCGTCGCCGAAGCCCACATAAGACAACTGACTCAAGATATTAAGATAGCTAAGGAAGATGCTGATCGACTCACACAGCAACTCAAACAGGTTTGGTAATTGTAGCTTAGATATGTGTGCATTGCTCAAAAAACAAGATTGAGAGATGGGAATGATTCATCAGTGTTGATATTCAAGTCTCCATCGAGAACCCCTTTGTTGATGTCACTATTTGCGCTCAGTCTTGTTGTGATACGATCGCTGTTTGCTAACCAAGAGCCCTAGGAGGCTTCCGAAGCATGGCCCTCTACAATATAGACAAGTCCTGGAGTTTTTCCCAAATGTTGACTTGGTCTCTGCCTCACTGTCTGTAGGCTTTTAGCCCCAAAAGTTTAGATTTACCTTCAAGCTGAACACAGCTTCATTGTTTACAACGGAAATATCCGGTTGTCGGATCCATGTTGTAGTTGCCCATCACTTAGTCTAGTGACAACTCCTTGCACATTGCTAGTCATGAGTAATGGATTAAACAATGACAAACGAATACTTCTGAATAGCTTTTGAGTTGGCTCAAGACTGGATGACTTGTGATGGAGGTGTGATGGACTTGCGGGGACTCGTGTTGGACTCGACTACAACACTGTGTCTAATCATGTTTGAGGCCTAGGTTTGAAGAATTTCTAGCCTGTTCCATCATTAAACGTTGGAAACCAATTGCGGGGCCTGAGAAATAGAAAAGACAGAGTTGAATCTGAGGTTTGGAAAATCCCCGAGCATGTGAACTCTGTAGATGTGGCATCCAATTGGTGGAGCTGAGAGACACACAAATTTGCTTAGCACAAACTATTTGCTCAGCGAGAATAGGTCATCAGCCAGTATGCACTGTATACATGTACTGCTGATGTTTGCTGAGCACGTAAACTTGCTTGTGTTTCCAAGTGAACAGCTTTGCAAAGTTTGGCCCAGGGAGGCCCTGCCATATTATGAAAACAATTAAGATACTTATCTAATTAAAATTCTTATTTTTTGCATCTTTTTTTACCCATTTGATGAAATTTGTAATGACATTCTACAGTTCGAGATGGTTTGGGGAAAAGTTTAAAGTAAATGTACATTTTACAGTACAACTTCCAAAATTTCACAATTCTGTAAGGACATTTTTACTCAAGTTGGCATCAAATTTCTTTATTCCTTATACATGCATACCCAGCAGTTCTTCAATACTTTGTCACTTTCGCTATTGGGGGAGTGCATATTGTGCACACCACTCCTGGTCATATTATATTGCAGCTCTCTCATACTCCTGATAATGTTATCTGTAACACTGACCAGTTGGTGGTGTGAGTGGATTGACACAGATTCTTGTATGTATGGTTGATCTGAGATATGGAATGTACCTCTGGTCACTGATCTCATTGCCAGGCAGGGTGAGGCTCACTGGTATGTAAGTGACCCAGGACCTTTGACATCCCGAGATTAGCCTGATTTTGAAGACAAAACCATTAAGTCTGCCCTGATTTCCACAGTTAATTATTTTATTCTTTTTGCACAAAACCTTGTGCTTTTCTGAACTCTGAAAATTGTCCTTGGTTGATCCCCTGAACTTGGGATTTAAATTTTTGATGAAATTGTTTCCCCTCACTATACACAGATTCACTCACTTGATTACTAGCTAGGAAAGCCCCTACATGTAGTTACAGTGTGTAACTTACAAAAAGTGCCACAAGAACTGGTAGACACATTTGATATGATGCTCCATGCATCATCCAGCTCCAAGCTCCATGAGTTCTCAGTCCTGATGGAAAGTGTATCTGAGTTTTGCCCTTCACCTGATGACTATTTCAAAACACTTCCACTGAAGTGGCTTGTTGCAGGGAATCAAGGTTGGCCGTATCCTGAGATTCAGTTCCCTGTATACATGTGAATTTCATGGATCATAAATCACCCAAACTTACATGTAGAAGATCAGCTAGTCCTAGATTCCAAGTTTCGTTCACAGCAATGTCGGCACATATTCAAATCTCCGGTCATCAATCATGTTGCCACAATGCATGCACCTCTTAAATAATTTTAGAATGTATGCCACATGTTTGTGAGCATAGTTTGCTAGTATGTCACAAATGTTTTTGATTTATGATTATCGATGTACTCTCCTAGAGCCAGCTTTTAATTATTCAATAAATGTTGCAAACTTGAAATGAATATTATGTTACCTACAATCATACACGTACATGTACAGCTATGCATATGCGGCAGAGAGCAGTTACACTTTGATAGTTTGACTGTGAACTCTGACATATTTCCTTGAAAGCAGTCTTGGCAGGCTTCACAGCAAAATTTACAAAATTCCTTTATTTACCTGTATTTCTGCTCTCCGTTAACTGACTATTGGAGAGCCAATGCTTTCACTTGGTTCCTGTTTTCTTATAAATACTTAGTGTATCAAATGAAAACAAGAGCCGTCTGTCTGCCACTGTCACAAATTGACTTTGTAATTGGTGACATCAGACACAATCAATACTTCTTGATTTCATTAACCTTTTCCGGTACAACATGTTCATGCAGAATGTTTGAAGTACCAGACACTCGGCCCAACTCCTTATGAGCCATTATGGAGTGTTCACGTACCCAACCTGGCATGCAATTATGTTGCACATCCTGACGCAGTACTGAAAAGCCTCCATGATGTGAATTTTGTACTAAAATATCTAGTACATATTTTTGCAAACATCCATGAGAATGATCTAATATTCTTAGAAGTGTACTTTTAACTGGTAAAATGCTGTACTTTTGATGTCATAATTAGGCACATTCTCTGCAGTTAGGTTTTTCTGTACAAATTGAGAAACAAATATGTTGTTTATAGCTTTGGAGACAATTTGTGCAAACAATTTTCTGACTGTTGTCACTGAGTCAACAATGACACAAGAACAGAGAAGAGAAGTAAACACTAAAAGCAAATAAACAAAACAAAATTTGTAGCATCCTTTAATGTTGAAGCAGCCTCAATACTGCCATTGGCCTCATGAAGAGAGAAATTTACTTTAGACTGCCGCCCCAAAGCCGACAGAAACCCCTGAAGCGGCACCTGGAATGCTAAAAACAGAGCAAACTGGAAGCGAACATGTTCTAAGGATTGTATCCTGAACTTGCCAACATTTATGGCTGAAAATGTATCTGAAAATGACTGCAGTTTTTTTCTTGTTTAGGAGTGCCTTTGAATCCCGCTCTCAACACAAAATGTACGCTAAAACTAACTGAGAAGGTTAGAAATTCACAGTACATGTCACAGTTAGTAGAAAATTCGGTCCAATGGAGCCAAAGATTTAACTATTAAATTAAATGAGCACGATAAACAAATGTTTGAAATAAGAACGGGTCTTTTCAAAGACAGCTCTGTCACTACTCCCCAATTCAATATACCTATAGTACATATAAATTAAACATCAAACATAGTCAATGAAGTAATAGTTTGCATACCACAGGATGCAAATTTATGCAAGTTCAGTTTACCGACGTCGACATGAAGCTGAAAAAAAAGGTGAAATTTGCTGCTTACTCTTTGAAATAACAATCAGAAGTGACAAATCATCCAAATTCCAGACGTAGCTTTTTCCAAATATTATGGCTTAGTATTTATAAATGTTGCACAGTATGAGTTCTCTGTTTATAAGGCTGTCATTGGCAAGAAATGTCAGCTCATTTTTTTTCCAGTGAAATATTTGATAATGATCGTCGGAGAGACCTTCAGGAGACAGTCAATCTATTAATTCTGGCTGAGAGTTTCCCTACAAGGATGGACGGAAGAAAATCGTTGCCGCCTCGGTATTCATTTCAAAATTTTACAGTGGAGTATAAATCTTCCCCAAACATTCACCAGCAACTAATTTTCATGTCTTCCTCCGCATTCTTTGGTGAATATTTCTCGGCCTGGTTTACTGAAGGTTTTGGGAACATGACATTATCACGTTTCAGATTGCCCAAGCTGAGAAAATAATCATTGCTGATCAAATTTGTGGCTCTTTCTGAACAACCTTTGCTTGAATATGTGTGTCTGATCTTGTTGAAAGACTTTGTGAGATGACAATTTCAAAAGCCAAGTCGTACCATTTCAAAGGCATCCATTGTTATAAGGAATAAGGTTATATTTAGCAGACATGTATAGTAAAACGTTTTTAAAATTTCCATAGAAAATAAGGTCAGAAGGATCCATCCTCTTCATGCTCAAATAAATGGTCAGTTAAAGAGTAGATCAGTCAGTGTACAAAATGAATTTGCACCCAGGTAACCCCCCAAAGGAACCGCCAAGCACCTTTCAAACTAAGTGGCTGAAACTAAGTAGCTGAAAAAATGTATGTGTAGGGTAGGTTCATGTAGTTCTGCAAATGAGTTTATTTTAAATCTTGTCTTTTCATCTTTTACACTAACTTTGTCTTTGGAGATGAATTTCTTTCATAGTTATTAAATTAGCTGGTGTAATTTATCAGTTGAAACTTTTACTCTCAACTGGTTCCAGGAGTAGAAGGTAGTGGGTCTATCCCCAAGTTTATTTATTGCCATTTTCCTGTCAACGACAAGTTTGACAGGTCAAGATGTCGACAAAAATAGGGTAAATACATGAACTCGTTTTGTTTTTTTGTTGCTGCTTTTTGATTATTTTTGTTTTGGCCTTGTGCTGAAGAAAAGCAGGCACAAACCCTTGCCAGCAATTCCGTACCCCGTCAAATTTACAATCATGTTCGGAGTGGTAAAAACAAATGAAAAGTTACGCCGCTGCAAGGGATATCAGTCAGTCATGGACATTGGACAGCGTGAAGAGACTGACACTGCTCAATAACTTTCAAATTTCCATGTTTTTTAATGCTGCTCCAACTCCCCTTCTTACCTTGTAACGATAGGAAGTCCGTCTTGAACTTCAAAAGCTTTGTTGATTTTATTAGTATATTCCAAGCATCATACATGTACCTTGTTCCTAAACTACAAGGTAACTTCATCTGAAAACAGCCCTGCCACTATTAGATAAATGGATGTCCATACATGATCTGCTTCCTGCTTTTATGTGTAGCTTATTGTCCTGCCTCAATTCAGCAAATTATGAGGACATGCCCCAC